AGACCTGTTTTATTTTTAAAAAAAACTGCCTACATATGCAGCCTCTGCTCTCTTCAGTACGAAGCTTCGTCCACGGTTTATCGAACCGTTTAAGGTTGTGGCCAAGCGGGGCCTAGCGTATACGCTAAATCTCTCAAAACGGATGCGCACCCACCCGTTGTTTCACGTGGGCTTGCTCAAGCCGTACCGGGATCCGGCGCAAGTGAACGCGGAAGCGCTGGCGCTGGAGCGGATCCCACGGGCCCTCGGCCACCCAGGAGTTGAACCAGCAACTGGTTCTGAGCACGGGGCGCAACAGCCTTCATTTCTAATGGCGGCGAGAGCTCCACCGCCGCATGTAGCGACGCATTCGCCTGATCCACAGCTAGGAGTCGCCCCGACAGAGCGTGGTAACCTTCAAGGCGAGGCAGCCGGCGCACGACATGCTTTAAATCGTCAAGAGCGTCCGCACAGCGATATTCTGCTTCAACATGACGCTCAGCGGAGCTCTGATCACGAAGGATCTTGTCCTCAAGGGCTCAAAAATCATCACGGGTCACCGGACAGCGGTCAGACCGGTCGTCACCACGATCAAACCCAATATCTGGTGAAGTGGCGGGGATATCCCGACTCTGAATACTCGTGGGGGTTTGAGGCGCCACTTCGGCAAAGATGCCCAGTCGCCGTGGACGCTTTTGATTGAAAGGATCAGAACGTCCCGCGTCATCAGACGCCCCGTGCTTCCCGAAATAACCAGGGGAAGTAGAAGGGCCATGAGCTGAGCTCAAGCAAAAGCCCTGAGTTCTAGCGGTCGAAGACACAGAGCTCACGGGAACGTTGAGGGTTAACCCGTACGTCGCAGGGCGACAATCCAAAGGAATTCGACAGCGTGCCCTAAGTTTTTAGCAAACACAAATTGGAGGTGTCGCTTCACACACACGCCCACTTCCTTGTGGCTCTACAGTAGGTCATACATTGAGGAAAGATTCCAGCGCCGTGGCACCCATCGCTCAAAGAGCGCTTCGTCATCTGTAGCGCTTTCGCCAGGGGCGAGCACTACAGGTATCGTCAATGCGGGTAGACGAGAACCACCTCGTTAAGCACGTAGACGAGTGCGAAAAACATCCAACGGAAATTCTTGTGGAACCAAAATCGAGCTCGAAGAGCCTTCCGTTTAGCAAGTTCATCTTTCGTTCTGGCAGGGGTCCCGATGATATGGACGCGTAACGATCGGGTTACCGCGTCCTTCCCTTCAACAGCGGGATCTGCTGGGCGAAAGCCATATTCCACACGAGAGTCAATGACCGGCCGTGGATGGGCGCGCTTTAGAGCCGCCTTATGGGCAGCTTCAAGCTGCCGCCTCTGAGCCCCGTCGAGGCCATTGGTGATTACACCACGTTCCTCGGTTGACGAAAAGTAAAAAAACGGACATGGGGTCAGCAAGGCACGAGCAGGGCTTGTCTCACGCCGCTGGCGCAGCTCGCCTTCCTCGTCATTCCATCCGGGAAAAGGAGTGTCAGACTCGTAGTCGACCACCTCTACATGCTCAACGAGGTCAACCATCATTGAAAGTGTGCGCAAAGCGCGACGCTCGTGCTCATCGAGCCTACAAAGTACATCCCTCGGGGCCGCAAAAACACTGTCCGGCATCGCGTTGCGTGCCGGAGACGAATTTGTGCTCTGCCTGTGCTCGCTATTCGAACCAGCGAGACTTGGTGACTTCCGTGTCGTGGACACAGGGCTGTTGCAGTGTCGAGCGGAGACGCGAGCCTCGTTAAGGCAATAATCGATTGGAACTGTAAATGTTCTCAATCTTAATGAGGGAGACTGTAACGGGGTTACACGTACCCTGGTAACAGGAGTGTGTGTCACACGAGATGTGCATG